CCCCCAACTTCCTAAGAGCACTCCAAACAAACTCTGAGCCACGGAGACTTGGAGCAGCAAGACACCGGCTCTCCCCTCCTCTGGAAGCTGGACATTGGACCAACCCGTGTCAGGCTGGGAAGTGGACGCGGGCAGACCCTGGCCCTGGAGGCACCTGGCCTGCCCCGGGACTGCACTCTGAACACGGCTGTTTCTTTGCTCCCCGGTGGGCCTGGAGTCAAGATTTTGGGACTGGAGGGGCCTCAGAGTTTGAGGGGCCTCAGGATGGGTGTGGGGTACGTGGGGCCGTTGAATCTGTGTCCTTGGAGAGGACGTGGCTTCCTGGGACCCCCTTCCTGTGATGAGGGGCCCCCTGGCCTGCGCCAGGGGGAGGAAGGGGCCCCTTTGGACGATTGGCTGTGGACGGTGCGGGGAGCAGACAGCCTGGCCCCGGAGACACTGCCTTGGGAGCGGGCAGCCCAGGAGGGGTGTTTGGTACTTTTAGTTTCCTAATTTAGCACTTTAAATGACATTAACTTATTTCAGGGGGCGGGGTGGGCAGGAATGGAGGGCCTAGATGATTAGATGTTGAGGCCTGGAGGGTGGGAAGGGTCTGGTTGTGAGGGAAATGGGGGGAATACAGAGGAGGCTGACAGGAGCCGGAGGATGGCTCTGACCCCAGGGGCAGGGGGACTTGACCTCCCACCATCCTCTTGGAGATCTGAGGGCTTTCAAGGAAGGGATATGACCTGGTCTTTCAATGGGGAGCCGGTGACCACTGGGGAGATCCTTGAGGGTCCCTGAGCCGGGCCCCCACCTGCGGGCACCCGCCTGGCTTTTGGCCAGGTCCTGAGAGGGGCGGAGGGAAACTAGTTTTGGTTCTCAGCCCTGGCCCCGCAGAGGGCAGAGTGAGGGGCCCACAGGGAGACTCTGGGGTGGGGAAGGAGGAGGAGGAGGGTGGAGTGCGTCCCCAGGGAGCAGGGGTACTGTTTGGAGCACAAAGTGGGGTACACGCAGGGGCGGGAGGGCTGGGATGAGTCTCCCTGAGTGAAGCACAGAAAGGAGGAGCCACTGAAGGCAGCGCCTCTGGGCCCTGGGGCCTGGGGGGAAGGTCCCCTCCCGGGGGAGCTGTTGAGGGTTGGGGCGGGAGGGAAAACTGGGTTGTGTTTCTTCATTTCTCTTTTTTTTTGTTTTTTTGTTGATTCATTCTTGTTTTCTAGCTTTGGATCATTTTTGTACAAAGGCAAGTAAGCCTTTTTGAAACAGAACAAAAGAAGAGGAAAAAAATCCCTCCTGAAAAAAACAAAACCTGGAAAATAGGAAAAAAAAAAAAAAAAAGGACCTCATAAATGATGCAATTACTTTTAATTGCAGGCAACTCTTTACATTTAAGTGAAGTGTCTTAACATTTTA